GAAGATTCAAGAATGGAAATCTGAGACTGAGGACTATTGGCCACAGGCCAACAGACACTGGTCAACAGGATGTGTTTGCTCCTTCCCAGCTTTGGAAAAGTTTCACTGGAGGAAGACAATTAAATGTGACATAATGAGTGGAAAAAGAAAAATGTTACCACATTACAGCAAAATAAATAAGGCATGGAGGTGCCTTACTTACTGAGGAAGTAAAATACAGAGAAGTAAAAAATGCAGCACTTCCACAGTGTTCTTTTCCCATTACTTACTGATACAGAAGTCAAAAGGTGCTCCCTAACCCAGGCTGCACCCATGGCGGCACTTCACATTACTTCAGCTCACAAAGCAGCAGTAAATACCCATAAGGAAAAACAAACAGGCGTGAAACTTCCTCATCTGTCCTTCAGTGCAGCTAGTTATGATGCAAACACTAATTTTCTTTTATTCATTCATTAAGTAAATCCCTAAATCTGAAAGTTATAAATGGATTTTTGTGACAATAAATTGCCTGACCATGGTATAATTCTCCATGTCATCCTACTCTCAAAGCAAACAAAGAAAAACAATTCCCTGCAATCAATGTGTCCAGAAACATTTACTTGTTCCGTGTGCCTGGTGAGATTTTGTTAAAAAATCATACAATTGGGAAACTGGGAGGTATAGGAATGTATATTTGGGGGCATTTCCACAGTGTTCATGGTATATCCAATTGTCTGCACACACGTTATTAGCAGGTTTTCCCCAGAGCACACTGTTAACCCAGTTGACTTGTTTCTGCTATCTGTTATACAAATCTGCACTTAGCAATACAACCGAATAATTTGCTGTGCAGTGCTCCTGTGATGAGGATCAGAGGAATATATACGTATTTTTTTTATCATCATTATGGATGGTAATAATAATTCCTAGAGTGATACAGAGATATCGATCCACTTATCTAATATATATATATATATATATATACATGAAATTATAAAGCTTGAGGAGCACTGCTATACTTATTTTAAGGAACAGAAAAATAGATGATGAGAAATCAACCTATGGTCATTACACATCAGTAGCACAGCTACAAATTAACCTGAGGAATTTCTGGCTACTTTTGCACAGTCCAGCTATCACTGAATGCTGTCTGTGTTGGCATCTGTGGTCATGTAGCCATGTGCTCAAAGTCAGGAGGTCTGAAAGTTTCCTTAAGCCTTTTACAATAAGTGATTTAAAATCTTAATCATCTGAGGCAGTTCACTCCTGCTTTTTCATGATAATGAAGCTTAGCACATGATATCACAATCATGAATTTTTGTAAAGCATACTTAGCTCTTCAGAAAAAGTGCTGGATTAAACAACCCTGCAGGCTGAATCCTTCTTTTTGAATAATGAATATAGCACAGGCAGCTGCAAGCTTCTTTAGATAGTCCTGTGAACCCTGCTAAAGCAAAGGCCAGCCTGCATGGCTGTTCAGTCCCCAGCTTCTTTATCGCTACAGCCAACGGGGCTTTAATTTTATTTTTATTTTTATTTTTAATACTTTTCTCAGCTAGGAATTACTCCTTGCCAGCCAACTAATTCCACAGGGACTATCTTACAGTTTTTGGAAGGAAATGCCTCTTGGTTGCTGCCTATTTCTTGTAGCTGGTCAGAATATAAGAAGTTACAAATGATTATTTCTTAGATGGAGGGACAAAAAAACCCCCAAACATTGGGAAAAAAAAAAAAAAAAGACATAGGGAAAAAATCTGTTTCTTTAAAAAACACTGCTCCACCACTGGAGCTCTGTATCATTATTTTACTCTCATTTTACAGATGAGTTTCAAATACTTGACAATAGGAATTTGGGGATGAAATGCTGATGGTCCATTATCAGTAGGGACAGCAATGGGTGTGACTTTATTAAAGTTCTGTCAGCTCTTGGCTAAAAACTACAACAGGAATAACCAGTTTGATCCCTCACTTTATCTTATTACTTATTTAACACTCATCATGAGTGTTACATTTCCCCTTGCTGCTGCAGGAAGGGATTTCTTCTTACTACTGGAACCATGTGGTTCTCTAAGATCCTACATCCCACCTATGAGTTTACTGCACACTTCTATCATGCTAGTGGTATGATTGCTGTTGTAGCACAGGCATGACCAAAAAGTCATCTGAATGTTCTTTACTCTTTATGGTGAAAAAAAAGACAACAACAACAAAAATTTGCAGCACAAACCAAAATTGTTCTATTGAACATTGTAACCTCATGCCATTCCTTGCAACTATCTGCTGGTAATCAAGATTATTTGCCTGAATCCTTCAACAAAGCTCACAAGTTGGCATAGATACCAATGAGTATACTCTTCAAGCTGTTTTCTTCCAAGATACCATGATGTACATTCGTTATGCAACTGAAAAGAGATGCCAAACAGAGTTTATTGGACCATATTTCCATCTCGCTGCTGTGAGCACTGTGCGTTCCCGAAGGCTCTGGCATCATAAGGACAGTGTTTTCCTAAGACAGTGACTATTTCTCATTCACCCCCCTGTGTCTGGGAGGGAAACACATCCGGACTGGTGCTGGGAGAACAAACATTGTTTGTGGCAGAGGGAACTAACATCTTGAAAATGGTAACATGAATTAAAACTCATTAAGTATCAGAACTCATTACAAAGATTTAACTGTATAATTCTCCTTCTTGCTTTAGTGAAGCAGCTTTTCACCCTGTGCTTTTTCAGCCAAGCTCCCTCCACTGCAGATCTCCCTTAGCACTTTTCATTTCAGCTTTGCAATACCAACACTTTGCCTTCTCTCATGGCATGGTGGTTTTGTGAAGCTGATAAACATCTGCCTGAAAACCTGGTTGGCACAGCTGAACTCATTTTCAAGTGTGAACATGGGTGTGTAGAAAGCAAATCGAGTTTAACAAGCCATGATGCATGAGGGCATGACAGAATATCAATCGTGATGGTGACCGAAATAAATCCGAGTGGCAGGGAGGATACAGCTCTGCTGAGACTACTGGTGTGTGACCTACCTGCACTAAGATCTTCACCCTCCAGCAGGAGGGAGCAGCATATTAACTCTACAGCTATGCTGGCTGGCAGACAACACTGCTCTGCCTGGTACACTGGTGACATGGCTTAAAATCTCAGCTTCTGATTCTTGTGATAGTGCTGTTCATGGTAGAATAAAACTACACCATCACCCTTACACTGTTCAATTTCATAATTATCTTTTCTATGCTCGTAGTACATCCAATGCCTATTGAATTAAAAAAAAAAAATGCAGTGGACTTTCAGCAGATCCCATTTCTTTAGTGGGTGATTCCAAAGAGTCAATTAATTCTTTTGTGACTCAAGACATCTCATGCCCAGATCTTGTTATTTCAGCACTTAGCACCTTTCCCAGTAGTGCCTTCCATCATCCTTTCTCTGTGCTAGTTACAAAGTGAAATATCTAAAAATCAGAACTATTTGTTTTCCCTCAGTGTGGGGTCTAGTGGTCTAGTAGATAATTGCAGTGCTTGACTATCAGTTAACGTTTACTACTGAGCCACAGGAACCAATCTCAGACCTTTATTCTGGTCTTCCCCAAGGCAAAAGCCATGATCCTGATGCTACTCTTGCCTGAAAGGACTGCTGTATGGCAGCCCCAAAGATATTGGGGTTGCAGTCTAATCAAGTACAAATGCAAATATGGAATTTTCTTGAGGCTACCTATTTATTGTCAGAATATCTTTTCAACAGGCCCTTCAGAAATGTTTTCACGCAGTGCTGTGAAATATACAGTAATCCATGCAGCTTCCCCTGCTGAAATGTATAGACTTTTTAAACGAGCTGGGCTGCGCACAAAACCCTCTGCTTTTCAAATCTAGGCACAAATTGTTGCATGAGGTACTGAGGATTCTAGAGCCTGCAGGAAACAAGCAAATCCAGAAGGAAAAAAAACCCGCACATATATATCTACATTTCCATGCAAGATTGATCCAATTATTTTTTTCTGTGACTTTTGAAAATGTAATTAAATGCATAAACTGTGCTTTCTATGTTTCTTTTATTTATTTCTACAGAAACAGAAGTGGTGATGTTCCTCACAGCTCCGCACTTGAAATTACTTGACTCCCTGTGCCATCACATGACAGCAGCTCATGCCTCAGCTGCTTTTCCCACTGAAGATGAGTCTATGCCCTATTCCACTCTGTACCACACAGTGCTGAGTTTGAGGAAAGGTTTACAGCCTGAGAATAATTTCAGGTCCACATACCATAGATTTAATACGCATTCTGCAACATCAATATACATTTATTTTTCTTTTTGATATGTTTTCAGAGAGCCATTCCAAAAGGCATTTCTGCACTCAGAAGTGGGCACCACCTATCAAAGCCTGTGCACTCCATTTCCAAGGTGCAGGTCAGCTGCCTGACCACTCTCGGTGGTGCTGTGTAACACCATTCCCCTGTTTTTTGCTTTGTGATAGGGGCACAAGCATTACAAGTTCTTTTAACAAACTTTTGTCTAGATAAAGCTCTCAGGTTCAAGCTCACCTCTTTGTTTCTGAGTTTCAACAGACCTATGTTTTGCATCGTGTTATAAAAAACACAGGAATTGAGGAGATAGTGCTACAGTGTAGGCCAGTTCCCATGACCCTATAAGTCTTCAACCAGTCATTTACAGTCCTTTTTTTTATTTTGGCCTTATGGTACAAAGAAGAAATGGGGTCAGGGAAGGATCTTTGATTCTGTGAGAGCAGAAAACGGAGGGTGCTTTCTCAGGGTGCAAAGGAACCTTTCCAGCTGACAAACAGTGCGATAACACAAGTTAATATGTTGGCACCAAGACCTTTCTGACACTGGAAATAAAAGGTGATAATTTCAGTCGCTGTGAAAAGTTCATGCGGATACCTTCATCACGTGGGACGTATTATGGCGTAACCTCTAGCTGCAGACAGCAGCTGTGCCTACCCTGACTGTGACACAGAGCTTCCAATTAGCACTTAAGGAAAGAGACTTTACAGACTGCACACTCACCTCTGCTCAGCCCATCAGGTCCCCGAAGGATTCTGCATTCTTCTATCTGGCCGAACGGAGAAAACATCACCCTGATATCATTCTCATTACACTTCTTCGAAACCATTCCTATGAACAATTTTCTGTCTTCCACAGCTAGAAGATAAAAATAATGAATGAGCAAAGGCCATTTCATCTTTTTCCTGTGATCAATGCTTCATTACCACATCAAACCGAGCTCCAGTCATGTGAGTCTGGCTCTGTAACTGAAGACAAGTCCTAAGGCAAACACTTTATACTTACAACCTCCCTTCCCCCCCCTCCCACCCTCACCCAAAATATCTCATTTTTCTTTATCTCTCTGCCTTTTTTTAGTGGTGGTTGCTGTTTATATTACAGATTAATTGGCTGCCTTAGTCTTTCTGCATATGTCTCCTCACCACTGCTTCTAAGAGAAAAGCATCCTCTGTTAGAAAGAGTAAAAATATCTTTGCATAGATTTTAATTCAGATAAATTCCCTCACCTCCCTCATGTATGAAAGAAATCACGACAGGGGTGAGGGTAAAGAGAGGATTGTGCACGTAATGATACAAGCTAATGAAAAATATTCCTGAGAAATGTTTTGAGAGAGAGGCTCCTATCTTTGCTTTCAATTTCATCCAACTTAATGCGTGGCACTCGAAAGGCAGGTGTGTAACCACTGCTCTGGAAAAGGAATGCATTAAATTTTCCTTCTTTCTTCAGAGTGACACAGTTCTCTCCCCTCCAAGGGGACAAGGCATATTCTAGGACAGCACCTCATCAAGGGGACTGCACAGTGCTTTCCAAGAAGCAAACTCCTTGATCTGTAATGATGCTGAGTTTGCAAGAAAAAAAAAAACACATGAAAAAGGTGCTTTACCTGAATTATTGGTAGAATATTTTCTGTCTGTACTGTCACCCAAACCAGCATAAGCTAAACTGCAGTGGCAGGACTCGCTAGTCCTGTTAATCAAACCTAAATTTACAGGTCTAAAGCTGCAGACTGTCGTCAAAAATGAAATAGGTCATCAAAATTTAATGCACCCTGGAAAGACTTAAAATGTTAACACACCATCCCATCTGTATTAAACCCCAAATCTAAGTGCTTATTATACAGCATACACACCATTGCTTTCTTCTTCTCTTGAAATGGCATGTAAATCCAATTCACCGTTAATGAACAGACTGTCAGAGTTTGCAAGGATGCAAAGAAAGAAGGAAAGCTTTACTCCAGAGAGTCTGCAGTGCACTTACTTATTTCTATTATTGTGCAAATTATTTTTGTAACAAAGTATTTTCATTTCTGGGCCTACCAAAAAAAAAAAAATCTTCCCTTGTTCCCCAACCCATTCTCCTTGTATTAATATGAGTTTGTCAAATGGAAGAAATTGCAGCTGAGGAAGAAGAAACTGCATCTATTTTCATAGGATTTTATTCGTGTTATACTTCAACACTTTAAGTGCATTTAATAACAATGAAAAGAAGAGGTTCATGTTTATTGATCACAGGAGAGGTATTTGAAGTAATTTTTCCTTAGAATTGCTGAATTTAAAAAAGCACTTGTAGCTTTTATACAAGCAAGCATTGAGATCATGCATTTTTCAGAATCCAGAAGACCAGTCCCTCTCACTCAAGAAACTTGCAAGAAAGTTGGTGTGAATTTAGTACCCAGGAGAAGTTTTTTCTCAGCAGATTCCTCAAGTCTCAACATTTTCATTCAGACTTTACTTTGGGGTTCCACTGTCAGGTTAACCTTTCAGGAAGGGCTAACAAATGATGAATGCACAGATGAACCAAGTACACACAGACCAGCAGCTGAATCATGCAAAGAAGATATGCAGGCTGGGATCCAGATATATGTATGTCTTTCAGTGAAACTTTACACTTGATTCATAATACATAATTACTATTGATAGTGCAGATAATTATGTTGAGGATGGTGGAACTGAATTGGTTTGCTTGCAGCCATAGGGAGAGTCTTGGTACTTTGCTAATGAGAAGATGCTTATAAATTGGCTGCTTAAAATTCCTATATGCACTTGACTAATCTCTTTAAGGAAGGTCCCCGGACAGCCTGGACAGCCTTGCCTGAATTGAATTGTAATGATGTCTCATACCACCAACTGAGGTCAGGTCTGGGGAAGTCTAAGCATAAGCATTGCCTTCTGTTCTGCCTTTTGGATCTCTTAATTTCTGCCTGTGTGTCTTTTAGTACCCACAAAGTTAAAATATGAGTTAATTTTAGACTTGAAGTCCAATGCAGGTCTATTCAAAGACTGACTGGATCCCAGTGTTCTCTTAAACTTTTACATATACATACATATTCTGGCAGAGCTGGACAAATGTCAGCAATGTGGTCACAAAGTAAGGAGCTGACGGTCCTGCTTGGGTGCAAGGATGAAGAATCAAATCAAAGAAATTCACAGAGACATAAAATTAAGAAGAGATTTTTCTCCCTGCCTTACAAGTAGAAGCTGTCAGGATGCGAAGGAGCTTCTCTTCTCTCTACCCCTCCAAAGCAAATGGGAAGGCTTTGTTTTAATTTTTCAAAGAGTAACAGACAACTCCCCTCCAGCCTCCTTCAGTATCGCTAGTAAACGCATAAGTACGCAGTTGAACTAAGACGATTTGCAGGTTTTCAGCTTCAGGGTGATTTTACAGTAAATTAAACATCCAGCTCCCGTGTACTGTACGTCTCGAAAATGCAGATTTCAGAAAGAATGCTCAGAGTACAGAAAACATATTGATATGATAACGTGCCCTGCATTTGGTGCTATTAGTCAGTGTTGATTAGCACTGAAGCTTAAGAAAATTGCTATTCAGTTTTGGCCAGGGGCCCAGCATAAAAAACATTTAAAATGGACAATTGTCATTATCAAAATGACATGCTTTCACTCCACCTCATAGAACATCTGATATTATTAGGCTGACATAGTTTTAAACTATATATTCTCACATGGAGAAAGGAATGCTTTTTTACCTACACATGATTGGCTGTCAGGATTTGTTTCTGCATCCTTGGTCAGCCACTTCTCTCCTTTCTTCCTGAAAGGAATACTTCCCCATATTGCAGGTGTGGTGTGAGAATGAACAGAAAAAGGATCGTAAGAAGAATGGGTCAAATGTATTCTGAGTATATTACCTTGCCTGGGCACATTGTATTGCCCCCACAGACTGTACAATGAGCTCAACATCAGGTCCATGCAAAACACCAAAGCATGGAGATCAGAAATGTGCTACCCACTGCTGGCTAGAGAAGAGACAGCAGTTTCTGAAGCTATTTCCCTATCTTTACTCACCTAAAATTTCCAGTTCTGCCTCAGCTAAAATGTGATCTATTGATACCAGTGTCAAGAGATCAGCTCCTCCAAAATCTCCTCTCACAGTGAGGCACGATGACTTGTTTCATTGGAGCCTACCCCTTACCACAGACAACAGATGGTCTATAACCTTTCAGCTGACTCTTGACCCTAACATACACATCCTCAGCTCAGGCCTCAGAGAAGGAAGAAATACTCCTGCACAATGAATGGTTTCAATAATTCAAAATCTTGAAAATAAATGCAAATTTTTCTGGTAAGCATTTTTTTTGACATCGCCATTTTTTTTACTCTTCTCAGAGATCTGTTTGTGCCTTCTGGCTGTTTCACAACACTGTTGTAATGTAAAGTAGATCCCACTGGCCAAAAGCAGAGAGTAGGATGAGATGGCTGAGTGCTCCACGCTGATGGAGAAAAAACAGTAAGAAAGTGACAGTGAACAAGGCCTGAAGTTCCAGTTACACGAAGGTGTGAAACTGCAGAGCATTCTGAGCAAATAATTATGGGATTCACCTCTGAACCATCCAGACACACAACAAATGCAGGTCAGCTATTCTACCTGAGCAGTTAGTGAGACATAAGCAGTGCTGTATCTGGGGTGGGATTCTTCTGCAGGCCTGTGGTGAATTCTGAATGAAGGAATCCTGTGTGACAAATAGCAGATATCTTTTTTGAAACTAGAGGAGTTGCTTTCTTAACTCCATTAAGACTAGCTCTGCGGTGACTAGCAAAGGTTTCTTGCTAATATGCTTGAAGAGAGCTATGGTAGCCATCAGAAGCTGGAAGAAATAAAGTTTGCTTCTGCTCATGGGGCTACTTTCAAACCAAAACCTCCTGCCTTCCAAAAGCACTACATTCAACTTGCAGAATAATGGCTGCTTTACTCAGTTTGTTCCATTAATGAGTATTTTGCATGAGAACACTCTCCCCATTTCAATGTTCAGTGTCTGGATGGAGATCAGTGATGAGTGGTGTCCCACAGAGGTCAGTGCTGGGACTGATATTCTTCAATATCTTCATCAGTGACATTGACAGTGGGGTCAAGTGTACCCTCAGCAAGTTTGCTGATGACACGAAGCTGTGGGGAGCAGTCAACATGCCAGAGGAATGAGATGCCATTCAGAGAAACCTGGACAAGCTTGAGCACTGGGCCCAGATGAACTTCATGTAGTTCAACAAATCCAAACTTGAGATCTTGCACCTGGGTCAAGGCAACCCTCACTACCAATACAAGCTGGGGAATGAAAGGATTGAGTACAGCTCTGCTGAACCTGGAGATAATGGTGGATGGGAAGCTGGATATGAGCCAGCAATGTTTCCTCACAGCCCAGAAAGCTGACTGTATCCTGGGCTGCATCAAAAGAAGCGTGGCCAGCAAGGTGAGGGAGGTGATCCTGCCCCTCTGCTCTGTGCTGGTGAGGCCTCAGCTGGAGTACAGTATCCAGATGGGGAGTCCTCCGTGCAGGAGAGACATGGACCTGTTGGAGTGCATCCAGAAGAGGGCCACAAAAATGATCCAAAGGATGGAACACCTCTCATATGAGGGTAGAAGAACTGGGGCTGTTCAGCCTGGAGAAGAGAAGGCTGCGAGGTGACCTGAGAGTAGCCTTTCAGGATCTAAAGAGGAGCTACAGGAAAGAAAGAGACAGACTCTTTAGCAGAGTCTGTGGTAACAGAACAAGAGGCTTCAGGCTAAAAGAGGGTAGATTTAGGTTGAATATAAGGAAAAAGTCTTCTGCATTGAGGGTGGTGAGACACTGGAACAGGTTGCTCAGAGATGTGGTAGATACCCTGTGCTGGAGACTTTCAAGGCGAGGCTGGATCAGGCTCTGGGCAACCTGATCTAGCTGTGGTGTCCCTGTTCACTGCCGAGAAGTAGGACCAGATGACCTTTAAAAATCCCTTCCAACTAAGGATTCTATGATTCTATGATTTCACAGTTTGCAGCTTATATTAGGTCAGTTGTGCTAGCTCAGGAGAATAAAGGAACAGGGCTTATTTCCTGCATGGTACAAAAGAATTAAATCCTGTAATAATAATAGGAAATCTCTCCTACGACTACAAGAACTTCCATCTTAAACACCAAAAATTTTGTCCTGAAAAATCATTTATATACCTCATACAGTGGGAGACACACCTGTCCATGACAGAGGGGTGGAATTAGATGATCTTTAATGTCCCTTCCAACCCAAGGTATTACATAATTCTATTCTATGACTCTACAATCCCCTTATTATACATTATGAGGGCTTCAGTCAGTTAAAGAGCATGTTTTCCATCCAGAACTTGTGTCTCTTTTGAGCAAATCATGAAATAGTTAATTATGTGCAAATGGTTATATAAATTTTTTTTTCATCCAGAAGGGAAGAGGAAAAAACAGACTTTTTATCCCTACTTGTAAGCCTGTGAAAAACCCTTGTGCACAATCTGTCAAAGTCACACCTGGATCTGGAGCTGCCTGCATTAATTATCAACTTTTCTATGTGTTAGTGCTAGCATATGGCATTTAATTACTCCCTCCAAACCGGCAACGTCGTGCCATGTAGAATTTCAAAATTATTTCTTCAAGTTTCCACTAATAAAATCAATAAAAATAAATGATCCAAACACACAACTAACTCTCTGCCTTCCGTTTCTTTCTTTCTTTCTTTCTTTCTTTTTTTTTTTTTTGAAATGATAAATTTTGTAATTTTCCCTCAAGTGTTGAAGCACTGATCCATTTGAGACTACTCTGTCCTCAGGATATGTTCCCAATAGTATTAACAGCATTCAAATGCTGATCCTAGAAACATTTAAGCACTTGCTAACTAGTAGCATGATAATGGCCATCTAAGAGCCAAGCACGTGTGTAATGTGTTTTTCTGCATTAGAGTGCAGATATTTCTTCCTTTTGAAACATAAAAAATATTCTTAAGCAGCCAAGTATTGTGAATGATTATCAGTTAAAATGAATCTATTAATAGTGGAGTCTTTGAAATCTTGAAGCCATGTTTTTCTGGTAGATATTCCTTAACTGAAACTTTGTAGATGGATCAAGAGACACAAGGGTGGGCGGATTAGAGGTAATGGGTGACAAGCACAGGACACACTACAAATTCAATCATCTGAAAATTTTTCAGGGATGTCACTTTTCTCAACAAGGAAAGCCTTTTCAGAATCCTCCAGAGTAAACAAACTAATTAGATCTACAGGCAAGTCTTTCTCCATCAGCTCTACCTGCTAAAAGCTCAGTGGGACAATTAAGCTTTGCTTCATGTGCATGAGCAGAGATGACTCAGATATATGAGCTACCATTCTCCACCTTCACTCCTGAATGCAGAGAAGGAACAGAGATGATTGCATGGATCTATCAGCCACTGAAAACCTATCCAGAAGAAAATATATCTTCCGGTTGCTAATAAAGTCTTAATACTGCAAAAGAACCCAGGCACTTGGTAAACATGTAGAAGATGCCTGTTCTAAATTCTTCTCCCCGTTTCCATAAGGTAAACTTGGCCTTTTGTGCTAAGGTGTGGGTTAACAAATTGATCTAATAAAAACAAGAACAGCGGTGAGGAATAAGGGAACATTTTGTCATAGCACTCCTGGCCTTGGATGATCATTACAATCTTTGCAAGAAATTCAAGATGTGCAGGAGGCGTCTTATCACCCAGAAAATTCTTCTCTTTGAAAACCTCTGTAGGCTGAATGATGGCCACCTTCTTCTCATCTGTGGAAGTTGAATGGATCTATCTAGCCCTTCAGAAATGCGTATGATCTCAGAAGAATTGCAACAAGTGTTCAACCTCTCTCGCATATCTTTCTCAAAGTTATTTGGACAAAACAATTAATTTAATCTCTTTGAAACATGAGAAACACGCCTTCACCTATAACAAGTAGTGGGATCCTCCATTATGCAGAAATCAAAGTGTTTCAAGTATTCCTAGCTCGAACACTATGGATCATGAAAACCAAGATATCTTGGCATATCTTCGTTCTTTTCCCCTTTGAACTTACCAATCTTGTTGAAGGTTTGTACTCCTTATCACTTTGCTATTGGCAAATAATATATCTCAGATGGATAGCCTGGAGCATATGACAAACATATGCCAAACAGGCCTCCACATTCTCCAAGCATGCAAACTCTCACCTCCTCCATGGATCCTACTCCTACGCCCTGTCCTTTTGAGAAGCTCTGCTGCTTTTCTCATCATCATGGTGTTAGTTCACCTTCTGTTTCCTCAGGCAATAAAAAAGAAGAGTTCATCTCCCCCAGAAAATGCCTACCAGAAGCATATATGCCCTCCAGGAGTATGAATTTAAAAAGGTATTTAATTTGACAGTGATGATTGTCTTTGATTTGTTGATGTGTTTTTGTTAAAGTATGGAGAAAGTCAAGAAAAAAAAAAAAACAAAATTTCAATCCTTCATGATTTTCATGCTAGAGATAAAAATTGGTGCAAGACAATAATATTCCCACAGTGCAGACAGGAGTATCATGAAGATAACCTCAGTCTAATAGCAGTAGCGGGGGGCTAATTTACCCTGCTTTGTAAGGACTGCAGAGCAGGACAGGACTTGCACAATTCCCCACAGCGCTTTGCTGATATGTTCAATCTTCTTCAGGAAGAAAAATGCAGAATGATCTAGTAATTCCTTTGGAGTTTACTTTGACCCACTGGCTCTTACATTTCTAATCTGCCAAGGTACATGAGGTGAAATCTGTTCTTGAAAGAAAAATCCACAGAAGTTATAAAGACCTTGGTTTTCCCTAAAGGAAAATTTTGCCCAATGCAAGTGCAATAAATACCATGGAATGAAATTTTGACTCCAACAGCAACCATCTCACTTGATAGAGTAAGGCCTGAAAAGTTTGGTCCTCCTGTCCACGCAGATGCCTTTGCCTCTTTTCTGAGCATTCAAAGAAATTGCTGCTAAAACTATTTGTGGACAAGTCAAGAGAGAGAACATCACTCCCTTGCATACAGATGATGGCTCTAATCTCTCATGTTTGTGGCCAGTTTTGTTTTGAAAGTTGTCATACAGGACACCTAGCATCGTGTGAAGTTTCAATTTCTTTCCGAACTTTGTAATCCTTGGAGAAGTCTGAAAATGGGATGCACTACAATTAGCACAAAAGAAGCCTTAAAAAAGCCTTGCAGAGAGATTTAGAGCCCAATCATAATTTACATTTGCAGGTATGTAGATCTCTAAGTGCACGGCTTCTGCCCTGATTACTAATTAATGAGGTGCAAAGATGCCTGTTGGAGGAACCAGCTCTGATTATGTGGGCCTTATGGGAAAAAGAAGCTCTTGCAATCTAAGAAGGCAGATGATATCTTTAACATGCATTTTAGAAAATTACAGGAACAAATCAAGGGGCAAAAAATACACATGTATATATTTTTAAAGAATCACACACAGTCAGGCTGCGTTACCATCCGATTATCTTATTTCCTTGAATACAAACCTGGCATGTTTAATAGATTTAGTTGCTGTCTATTTTGCATGTCATATACATCCACTTAGGCAGTAACCTAGTATTCTGAATGGATATTACTGTCATTATAGCATTCATTTTACAATCGTTGAGAGGAATAAATATACAGAGAGATGCAAGGTGGGTTTCCCAGTTCAGAACTAAGCATATCATTAAAACCTAAATTTGGTTCAGATTCAGAACAGCATCATTCTATAAAAAGTAGGTTTAGCAAATGTTTAAGGTCTATCAGCTGCTTACATTATATTAACATTAGAATGGTTTTTGTTTCTTTATTTTTTTCCTTTTCACTATTAAAATTTCATATCCATCTCACCAATATCAGGTACTTTTGGATCACTTCACTGCCAGAACACAAGTGAAAGAAGTTTGTAGCATGGTAGTTCATTAAATTTGAAGATAAATCGGAGTTGAGAGCAGGTCAGCATCTTTCCTGATTTGTCAGATGTAGGGAAACAGCCTCATATAGTTTTCGCCATACAAGAAGCAAAAACTCTCACGATGTTTTGTTTTCTTTAGTGAAAAGAGATCCACAATTACATAGAAATAAATTAAGCACATACCATTGGACTTTTCACTATCTGCAGGTTTCATCTGAATAGGATGATGCATCTAAAAACAAAAATGAAAAAGAGTAAGGCAGGTTGGATAGTCATAAAAATCAAGAACAATGGCTTTAATGACGGGCTAAAAGGATACATGGTCAATATTAAACACATTGCAATGGTATAAATTCAGAATAACACCATATAATAGGCTTTTAAGAAAAAAAATGGTAAAGGAGCATTTTATAACGAGGAAGATTAAAAAAAATAGATCACTGGGCCCATAGGACTCATATAAAACTTTAATTTGTTACATCTAGTTTCAGAAGACCTCTAAAGTTACAACTCTCATTACTTTATGGCATACTTGGTTTCTGTTTTACCAATTTCTTTTCTGGAGCTCAAACACTGCTGAGGCTGAGATGCAATTTCCAAGTAACTGAAGAGCTAGCAAGCATTTCAAACATACTCAGAGGAGTTTATCTTGACAAATGAACTTTGCATGTAATTAAAAAAAAGCACACGCAGATTCTTTCATGACTGAAGAGGAAGACTTGTATCTCTTAAAATAGCTTCTTATAAATGTTTAGTATCTTTTTTTTTTTTTTTTTTTTTTTTTAATAGAGTACATTATACATTCATTCATAAAGCTTCTGTGCAACACAGTACAATTCTGGCTTCCATAAAAAACCTTCCTTAATAAAAACCATAAAAAATTCTAATACTTCTTCCTTTTCAATCTTTTTCTCCATTTGTCTCCTTCATACTGTAAATGAAATCAATTCCTGTGCATAGTGTGCTGTTCTGTACATCACATGACATCCTACCTTCACACACTTCATGTGGTGTTTGTTTTGCTCTCATTGCTATGTGATGATTCTCCCCACCTTCAATTGTTGGCAACTCCAATAGACTTTTATATACAGACTCCAATAGCATTTTCAGTGACATCAACACAACAACAACAAAGTCCTCTCTGATTAGAGGGCTATTTCTACTGGATACTGCATGTGTCCAGTGTGATGGACTCAGGGAAATTTTGTTATAGCCTCTCAAATACCATTAGAATGGATGCTGCATTGTGTTTCAATGTGGGAGATGGTTAGGCTTGGAAAAAACCCAACTCTTTCTTCCACAGGCTCTACAGGACTGCACAAACCTTAAGGAAGTATTGGGAATGCTGTCTTTTCACTCTTCAGAAACTCTTCTCCATTTCACCTAAGCATGTAAAAAAATCTATGCTCCTTCTGCTTTTGTAACATCCTTCAGCACAGTAAAGCTGAGCATTGCCTGAAAATGTCAGTGACGATTCCATATTTTTTATAAAAGAATATTATGACACACTTGATGTTGGAAAACAAAAACAGCTGAGCATGAACATCTATGCTCTCATATCAAATGCACTTTCAAAGCACCACAGAAAAACACATCTGCATTGCTTTTGGTGGAGTCACTTAACCTCCAGGGACATAGTTGCTGGATTCTTTAGTAAACATAAAATATTGCTATGAATATCTCCATAAGATTTATTCAAAATCCATAATGCTCTCTGTCCCTACAAATCAACATATTCCTTGTGCTGCTTGCAAAACTCCCTATTGTTCCCTAAGGAAAAGGCAAAGCCACAAGGTTGATGTAGTCACCAGGATGCATAAATTTGCTTCAATTTTAACAGCTCTGCTCTCCTCGAATCGTTTGTTTCCCAAACGGACTTAAATAGCCCTTCACTTGTCTGCCACCAGTCTTATTTGATCTAACTTAAAGAAAAAAGGGAACTTAGATTGTACTCTATCTTTAACTAGTGCTTAACATTTATCCTGGCATCAGCAATATGCTGAGAACTGCAGGAGACCTTAAATTCATGGAATGTGATGCACTATGTCCACTGAGAAAACAAAAGCTGAAAGGAAAAAAGGTGCCACTTGCTGCAGTGCACCCATTGCTCGTATGCTCCTGCAGAACCACATAAAGTTGAAGAAATCAAGGAAATAAAATGGAGTTGTTCAGATGCATGTAAGAAGATGCAATTAAGAGCAGCAAATAAATTAAAGATGAGGTAGTCAGATATGCCTCCCGATACTAGAGGCCGAGAAGGATGTAGGTTAATTTCCATTAACTACCAGAAACATCACTTCCTAATTCACTGTAAATTTGGGAATACGAAAGCTATAGAAAAAGAATCCATCCACATCCTTACATAGAATCTATCTCTCTGCATACCTGCATTTTATGCCCCTAAGTAGATATACTTCGAATAAATGCAATTTTAACAATGCTAAAAATCCTTCACTTTTCAAACCACCTGAACTGGAGGTCTTTGGACCAAATTCATGTACACAGGTTATTTCCACAGTACCATGGTTATTATGCAAAGATAAGTGTTACCTGGCAAACACAGTTACCACATTAGAAATTATCCTCTTCTGTTTTGCATAATTACTTCAAGTTCATTAAATCAGTAAGCTGTCATGTTTGCAAAGAAAGAAGTAAGATTTAACAAGATGTTTCAACTGGGCGTTGACTTGATTTCAGAGGTTCCTGCTGAAAACCCATGGTCCAAAGTCTCACCAGTAAGCCTATGTCAGAAGGAATGCCACTGTGCTTAACAGTATTTTATCAGTGCAAAACTAATAAAAGATTCAGATCAGGCCTGAAGGGTTTAAGCTGCAGAATACCCATGGTAAAATGGATGTGATACACAAACATGGCTTCAGTAAAGAAGGTGGAAAAATATGTTACTGACAGTTTGATAACATGAGAGGGCTCATGTTGAAGCTTGTTTAACCCTGACCATCACCAATTGATACATTAACAACCTTTAACACTAGATTCAATAAAACATGCCATTTATAACCTGAAATGGGTTTTACAGAGTCACTGGTTCGCATCTCATTATTGAACTCATTGCTGACCTCTAGAGACAAGTGCCGTGACAATACATATTATAAGCACTCTACCCGTAAAATATTTAAACGTAGGTGTAGAAAAAAGAAAAAGGAAAAGAGAGAAAAAGAAAAAAGAAGAGGAGAAGATAAAAGGAGAAAAGGGGCAGGGCAGGGAAAAGGGAAAAGGGAAAAGGGAAAAGGGAAAAGGGAAGGGAAGGGAAGGGAAGGGAAGGGAAGGGAAGGGAAGGGAAGGGAAGGGAAGGGAAGGGAAGGGAAGGGAAGGGAAGGGAAGGGAAGGGAAGGGAAGGGAAGGGAAGGGAAGGGAAGGGAAGGGAAGGGAAGGGAAGGGAATTGCAAGGTGTGCAGTGAGTAAGAAAATTAAAGGGGCAGAAACAAAGGCTGAAAGGGTACTATCACTCTACAATGAGCAACACTGAAAATAATCCGTGTGTTTTATATCTTGCTTGTATAACTGTAGGCTATAAAATAATAAAATAGCTGTGCTTTCTCAGCCCCTCCAAAAGATTATAGATGATATAAACCTGTTTCAAATTAGATGCCACCCACTAGAATCATGTCATCTACTAAAATGAAGGATTTCACGTCTTATCAGAAAGCTGTTATTGTAGCTATACATCACAAAGCTGTACACTTATGGATCTCAAGGTAAGTGATTTCTCACTGTATCATGTTTTCATACAAAAAAATCCCAAAAAACAACAAAACAGGAAGTGTTTATTTCTGTGCTTGAAGAAAGCTTTGCTTATAAAAATACAGTATGTGAGAATACATATTTGCAGTTAATAAATAGGGAAAAGTGAGAAAACTAACTGCAGCAAATAGATGTTAGTATCATCCAGCACTCAGACCCTACAATGGAAGAGAAAAGCACAGCTCTCAGGCAAGCTCTTTCCGAGAGTGGCCAGCTTTCCTAGAAAGCACTGGGCAAGGGGCTAACGCAACCCAACTGGAGAACAGGCTGTAAGGAATAATTCCTCCTTGGCAATATGTTAGAGAACTCTACTGGATGCAGTTGAATAGTCAGTAACAGCACAGCTCAGCTTTCCTCAGCCCTGTTTCACAACAGAGTGGGCAGATGCCTTGGCCAAGCCTGGCAGTGCCTTGATGCAGCACCAGCAGTGAGATGCTCCATGGGAAGCTGGTGCAGTAATGGAGGTCACGCGAAGCCCAAGGCCGTGCATGTCACCACTCCTGCTTGGGCTCACCCCAAACTGGCGTGTTGGTGTGGTTCACAGGGTAACCAAAATCGGAAAGGGAAAGAAAAAATTGTAAAACATGGAATCCTGATCAAAGGAAAACTTGAAATCCACCCAGTGGCCATGTCCAGTATAGCAGCTGAACCAAGCCATGGCCTACAACTACAACTGAGGACTTTTTATCTTTTTTTTTTCCACCTCTTCCTGAATAGATGTCACTGTATGTAAATGTAACTTAATCAGAGAAAAAAAATCACAATAGAGCAAATAAAAAACCACACGAAGACATAGATCCTCTCCAGCTTTAGAGCCTCACCATCATCTTTTCAACAACAATAATGCTATCCATTTGCATTCTTGTCAAAATCATGTGACATCTGTATGGGAGAAAACAAGCCAGCTAAGAGTCTATTTCTGGCAAAAATATTGCAAGGAAATTAGATTAACCTGGGTGGAATTCTATCTGGGAATTTGGAGTCTGTCGTGGTGATTAAGTCATCATTTCTGTCAGATTACTCTAATCGGCTGTCAAATATGATTCCACAACCCCATCTGTAACTTGGCATCCTCGTTATTCAGCCGATGTTACCTTCTGTATACAAAACAAACACCAAACAAGGAGGTGTGTGCAGCCTAGCATTTAGCAGTCATTAGCTGTGATTACTATTGTGTGCTTTCACATTGCACGACAACATCAGCTTACAGCTCCTTTTATTTATTCACAGGATGTTGAGAATCAGGTGCAATCTTAAGCACCAAGCTCTTGGGGTGAGTTGGGAAGAGTTCTGCCTAGGCAGGGCCATCATTGGCATGGAGTGAGCCACCACCATCTTACCAGAGATTACCTAAATCTCATTTTCCACTTGTCAATATGCTTAGTGGAAGGATGGGCACCTGCTTTCCACTCATTTTCTAAGGGGAAATGGGCTCTCAGATGTATTAGGCAGGCTAAAGGCTCCTTATGA